CCAAGTCATGGGGTGTGGGTGTGGCTCCTGCAAGGGGGGCGCCTCAGAGACTCCTCTGTGCACAGAAAGGGTTTTCAGGAAGGGTTTGGGGGGGACCCACAGCTGAACAGACAAACACATCCCTTTCAGAGGTGCTCAGATAAGCAGTAGGGTGGCGACCAGATCTGGGGTGTCCCTTGCCCCCAAGACCTTCATGACGAAAAAGACGGTGTTGCCTTAAACAGTCTGAGAGACAGCAGCTGGCCACACTGGTCTCTGCTGTGGGACCCATTCCACTTCCAGGAACCCCAGCCTGGGGTTTGACAGCCCAGCTGAGAACCTCTGCTGGGCTCTGAGGCACTTGCTCCGCCTGGATTCAGGGTCCTGGGTCCATTCGGGCTCTATTCTGGGATTCTGTTGTATTCAATTCAGGATCCTATTCCAGGACGCTGAGATTTGATTAAGCTGTGTCCCCCCACGGACCCTACTGGCACACGAGGAAGGAACGGGAAAGGGGGGTCATTCTTATTTCAGAAAGAAGCATCAGGGGAGGGGGAGCTCGGCTGTTTCGTGGTGTGGGCACACAGGGCAAGCAGGTGACGGCTCACTCCCTTCCCGGTTTGACCGAGGGGAGCCGGTGGGTAAGAGAAGGGGCTCATGCAGGTCACCCAGCAGGTGAGAGGCTTGCCGCTGTATCTCACTTTTTATCAAGAGATAAAAAGACAAGTGTCCGCTGTACAATGCCTTCCCTAACTCACACATGCACACGGGGATTCGGGGGGGCAGTGCAGGGGACAGGAGAGGTGGTGGCTGTCGTGATTTCTAGATGATTCAGCTCTGGCCCCTGGCTCCCCGCTGTGTGTGCGAGCATGTGCGGGCATGTGCGGGCACAAGGGCCACAGGGCGGGTGTTCCAGCACCAGGCGACCTCATGAGGCTCTGTCTTTTGGTGGAGATCCCTTGGGGTGAGGGGCTCAGACTTCGGTGTTCAGAGGCAGCGGACAGGTGAGGGGGCCTTCTGCCCCCAGCAGCCCCCTTCCACCGTGCCGTCTGCCAAGGAGCCTCCAGATCTGGTTCTGCCAGGCTGGTCCCACATCTGTGGGTGTCCTCGGGGGAGGGTGGCTCACCCGGAAAGTCAACCCCTTAGCTAATCAGAAGCCAAAGATACACACACTTAGGGAGGGGTCAGAGCTTCTGGGTATGTGCCCGGTGGGCATGTGCCCACCAGAACCAAGCACCTCTATTTCGAACAGCAAAAACCAGGAACACCCCACATGTCCACCAGCAGGAGGAGGAACGATACACTGTGTATTCATGTCGTGGAATGCTAATATTTTAGCAACGTATTGGCAAGTGCTGGGGCCCTGGAGAAAAGCAGGGGCTGGGGACCAGAAAGGTCAGAACAGTGGCTCCTCCAACAGAAAGAGAGAGGCTGGGCTGGGGCTGGGCTGGGGGTTCCTGGGATGCCGCTTGTGTAGTGACAAGGCGGGTGCTTGCTTTATTGTCGTTTGTGTTGCGTGCACTTTCCTCTAAGTGTGTAGTATTTTGCAAACTTTAAGAAATAATCTTCAGAAATCATGCTGTACTCCTGGAGGATGCTTCCCAGGCCTGCTGGTGGTCCCCAGGGGTCCCTGCATCCTCAGGGTCCAACTCTGAACCACCGCCCCCTTATTTCTCAAACATCAGCCCTCACCTCCCAGAGGCTAGCGACCAGCTTTCTCTTACCCACCGTCTCCCCTCTGCCACACCAGCCCCCCTGGTGGATAGGGTCTTAGGTGAGGGGCCCCAACAGTGCTGGGCAACAGTGACCATTCACACCCAGGCTCCATGTGGAGGCTGAGGAACTGAGACCCAGAGAGGCGAGGGTATTGCCCGAAATGCCTCACCTCCCAACAGTGAGCTGGCATCCAAGAGAGACCTCGATCCCTGCAATCTAGATATGTAATAATACTGCATCGTGTTCCCGGGTCTAGAACATTCTGGGTCTGTGCTACCCAATACGGTAGCTGACTCCTGGCCTAGGATACTCCAGGACTGCACTGTTCAGTAGGCTAGTGGGCTCCTAGTCTAGAACATTCTGGCTCTGCACTCTCCAGTACAGTAGCTGGCCCCAGTCTAGAACATTCTGGGTCTGTGCTAACACAGTAGCCAACCTCTAATATAGAACGTTCTAGATTTGATCTGTCCAATGTGGTAACCACCAGCCACATGTAGTCACTTAAGTTAAAGTTTACATTTATTAAAATTAAATAACATTAAAAATTTAGTTCCTGAGTCATTTTTGCCACATTTTCAAGGCTCAATAGCCACGTGGGCCTAGTGGCCACCATACTGGACAGCACAGACAGGACATGTCCATCATGGGAGAAAGTTCTATTGGACAGCACGCGTCTAGAATGGCGAATTACAGCCTTATCCTGAGCCCCCTGCCTGCTTTTGTAAATAAAGTTTTATTAGCACATAGCCACGCCCATTCATTTACATCGTGTCTGAGGTGACCCTGGGCTTAGAACATTTTAGAACCATACTGTCCAATAAGATAGCCACCGGCCACATGTGGCTACGAAGCCCTTGAAATGGGGCTTGTGTGACTGGGGAATGGGATTTTAAAATTTGTTTAATAATAAGTAATAAACTATACTGACTGCCTGTTGAAATAATAAGATTTTAGAGATATTGGGTTAAAATGAAATATAGCATTAAAATTCATTTTACCTGTTTCTTTTTCCTTTTTAAACGTTGCTACTGGAAATTTTAAATGCTGCGTGTGGCTTGCATTATATTCCAGTTAGCACTGCTCACCAGCTCTTTTCCTAACCAGGACTTATCCACCTGGCACCACTGACTTGGGGCACATCATTCTTTGTTGTGGGCCGTCTTGTGCCTGCGGGGTGTTGTGCAGCATCCTGGCCTCTACCCACAGCATCTTCCAGTCTTGACAGTGACAAATGTCCCCAGACATTGCCCAGTGTCCCTTGGGAGCCGAATCGCCCTGGGCGAAAACTCCTCCTAAACTAATGTAAACTCTTCCGTTAGACAACAGAGGCTCTCGTGTGCTCTCAACAACACACCAGGCACGTTCCTGCCTCCGAATCTTGGTACACTCTGTCCTCACACCACCCCCATCTTCATCTCCATCTGCCACAATCCTCCCATCTCTCAAAACTCAGCCCCAATGCTCCCTCCTCCAAGAAGCCACCCTGTTTGCTGTCTACTGAGTCTGCCAAGCAGGTCAGCTGTTTCTCCCTGGTGATGCTGCCCCAGGGCGCCCTTCCATCTGGCCGTTTGTTTTGTGCTAACCTTCCGTAGCGGGTTGAATGATGGTCCCCCTAAAATATACCCGAGTCCTAAACCTCTGGAACCTGGGAATAAAATGAGACCTTACTTGGCCCTAGCCAGATAGAGCGTCGGCCTACGGACTGAAGGGTCCCGGGTTCTATTCTGGTCAAGGGCGCATGCCCAGGTTGCGGGCTTGATCCCCAGTAGGGGGCCTGCAGCAGGCAGCCGATCAATGATTCTCTATCATCGTTGATGTTTCTATCTCTCTCTCCCTCTCCCTTCCTCTCTGAAACCAATAAAAATATGTTTTAACAAAAAAAAAATCATAATAAAATGAGACCTTATTTGGAAAAGGGGTCTTTATGAATGGAATTAAATGACAGATCTAGAGATGAGCTCATCCTGGATGTATGGTCAGCCCTAAGTCTAATGGCAGGTATCCTTATACGAGAAAGGCAGGGGACATTGGAGAGATGCAGACACAGAGGAGAAGGCCCTGTGACAACGGAGGCGGGAATGATTGGAGTAATGAGTCTACAAGCCAAGGAACTCCTGGCAGCCACCAGAAGCTGGGAGAGTCACAGAAAGGATTCTCCCAGAGGGAGTGCAGCCCTGCTGGCACCTTGGTTTCTGATTTCTGGCCCACAGAACTGTGACACAATATATTTTTGATGCTTTAAGTGCCATGGTTTGTGGTGCTTTGTTAAGCAGCCCCAGGACTCCAGTAGTTGGAAGGAGGGTTTTGAACACTGAAATCAAACCAGGTCATTCCTCTGCTTGCCACCCTCCCATGGCCCCACTACCCTTGGAATAAAATCCGAACTCCTCACGGAGTCCTGTTCCTTCCTCTTCCCCATCCTCCTTCCACCCTCCTCCTCACTCCATGGCTTCACTCTGCTCATCCCCTCGGTGCTCCTCAAAGGCACTGAGTTTGGTCCAGCCTCGAGGCCGCTGTACTGGCTGTGTCCTCTATCATGGATGCCCTTTGGGCAGATAGGTTCTCTCCCTCCCTCAGACCATCAGGTTGCCTCCTCAGAGAGGCCTTCCCTAATCACCTGGTGTATCTATAACCCACTGGGCCGGCACACCCCAGACTTCCTGCTCCCAGCATTGATGGATACAGGTGCCCCAAGCAGCTCCTGAGTGCTTTTGCTGCTGAAGGGTCTCTGAGAATCCAGAGAGAATGGCAAGCTCCACCCCCAGAGCCACGAATCTCACTGTGGTTCCTTCACTTTCCAGCAGGAGGTGCTGCCTGGAGACCAGGCTCACTTGGCTCAGGGGACCTCTGCCCACCCAAAGAGGACAGGGCTGAAAGAAAGACCTGGTAGGTACAGAGCCTGGGCCGACCTCCCCTTGGGATGGAAATCCTGCCCAAGCAACCCCCAAATCATGGGGCTGAAGCTCTATTTGCTTCGATGTTCCTTTAACACTCTAGGCACAATTCTGCCTCAGGGCCTTTGCACGTGCTGCTCCCGCTGCCTGCTAATGCTTCCTCATCTTCAGGTCTCACACCCTCAACCAGTGCCACCTGCATAACCACACACAGCCGCTCCGGTATGACGCTTGGGCCCACTGTGCAGTAGGCACTCAATAAGTGCTCACACTGGTGACCATTTCTGTCCCTCTGAACCTATACCTCTTTCTGAGTCAAGACACTGCTGATCCCAAGAAGGGCCTTGGCCTTCCCCAGGCTGAGAGCCACCCCTCTGTTCTCCCCGCTCCCCAGGCAGCATCCAGACTCACCCCGGGCAAGGTCTTCTGTTCGTGCAGAGCAGTCTGAGCTTTGATGGCGGAGTCCCTGGCACAGTAAGTGAGGAAGGCACAGCCTGGAAGGGAGAGAATGGGGGTGTTAAGAGAAAGGGATGCTGTGCACCCATGTTCGTTCATAGCAGCATCATTCACAACAGCCAACAGGGAGAAACAACCCAAGTGTCCATGGGTGGATGAATGGACAAACAGTGTGGTCCATCCACACAGTGGAATATCACTCACTCTTTTAAAAGGGAAATGATGACACCTGCTATGACATGGATGGACCTTAAGGACATTTTGCTCAGTGAAGTCAGCCAGACACGAATGGGCAAATGTATAATTCTACCTGTAAGAAGTCCCCAGGGAGCCCAATCCACAGAGACAGACAGTAGACCTTGTCAGGGGCTGGGGAGGAGGATGAGGAGGTCATGTTTAGTGGGGACAGAGTTTCAGTTGGGAAAGATGAGAAGGTCCAAGAGGAGGATGGTGGTGATGGTTGTACAGCAATGTGAATGCACTTAATGCCACTGCATTATACACTTAAAAATGGTTAAGATGGTGAATTTAACATTATGTGTATTTTACTACAGTAAAACACCTGGGGGGGGGGGGAGAAAAACATGAGAAAATGGTTGATTTTATATTATGTGTATTTTACTACAATTAAAAATTAAAAAAGAGGACCCGAACCGAAGCCACCTTTTGCGGGGGGAGGGAGGGTGCAGTAGCAGTGGTTCAGCCCCGCCACTTCCCAAAGAATGAGACAGGGAGGGAAGAGAGGAGACCCGCTGATGATGGAGTCTGGGGCTGACACCAGATGAAGAGACTCTCCGAGCTGTGGGCTGGCAAAGTGCGGTCAGGGCGTGGTGGGGAGAGGACGATGGGGAGAGGACCCAGCACTGGGATGAGGAGCAGCGGGCTCTGCCACTGACTCGCTTTGTGGTCTTGGATAGGGCGCTGCCTGGTCTTTGCCTCAGTTTTCCCCAAAGAGCATGGTCCGAGAGCGCCTTGAGATGGACCCACCAAGGGGCATCCGAGGCTCCAGAGGGTGTGTGGTCCGGCAGCAAAGAGCAGAGCCAATCAGGAGAGGCCCTGGAGGTGTCCAAAGCCAGGGTGTGATTGGACTGCGTCCCGGGTTGGGGCGGGGTGCCAGATGTTGAGAGTCACAGAACAAGAAACATTGAGACAGAGACAGACGAAGAGAAGCAAAGAGAAAGAAACGCCCAGAGAAAGACCAAGAGATCAAAGATACTTTGAAAGATGTTTGCAGAAGACGGGGTGGGGGTGGCAGGCAGGTGTCCGGACCCCTGGGATGGACCCTCGAGGTCTGGGCCCAGGGCTGGGCTTTGCCTAACTTCTGCGGGCCTTGTTTTCACTGCCTGTGAAATGAGACCATCCTTGGCTGCTCTGATGCTGTTGGACCCTGTGTCCCCCGGCCCCAGCGTCTCCCACTCATGGTCCCTGTCTCTCTGCCTCCCTTCACTCCCGACTTCCCGTGCAGAGCTCTTGGGAACAGCTCTGGGGAGCACACTTCCACCCCAGGCAGGAGCTAATTAAAGCTGCATCCTGTCCTGCCGGGCGATGCTTACCACAGTGGCTGCTCCCACCAGCTGGGCTGGGTGGTGGGGAGGGGTGCCCACCCCACGCCTGAGAGGTCTCTTGGAACTCTGGGGAGGGGGGAACCAGGCAGAGCTGAAGACAGGCGCCAGCATTTAAAGAACATTTGTAAATGTAAAATGGTACAGCCGCTGTGGAGAACAGTCTGGCAGGTCCTCAAAAAAGTTAAACGTAGAATTGCCATATGATCCAGCAATTCCACTCCTGGGTAGATACCCAAAAGAATTGAAAGCAGGGACTCAAAAGAGATATTTGTACACCCATGCTCACAGCAGCATTGTTCACAATAGCCAAACGGTAGAGAAATACCTAAATATCCATCAACAGATGAGTGGATAGACGAAATGTGGGATATACAGGTGTCCCCCCAAAATGTGTACACTCCTTAACAGCTGATAGCTCAGTGTTGGAAATGAAATGTATTTTAATAAGCACTGCCTTTATAATTATTCAAAGTATGTGTACACACTTTTGGGACACCCTATCTGTACAACGAAGTATTATTCAGCCTTACAAAAGAAACAAATTCTGAGCCGTGCTACAACGTGACGAACCCAGGGACCTTATGCTCAGTGACATAAGCCAGACACAAAAGGACAAATAGCGTATGATTTCATTTTATGAGGAGTCACATCCATAGAGACAGGAAGTAGATGGTGCGTATCAGGGGCTGTGGGTGAGGATGAAGAGTTAGTGTTTAATGGGGATGAAGAGTTGGTATTAAATGCAGTTTTGCTGGGGATGGGGGGACACAGGGTCCAAGAATTTCAGTTTTGCAACATGAAAAGCGTTCTGGAGATGGGTGGTGGTGATGGTTGCACAACAACGTGAATGTGGGTAATGCCACTGAGATGTACACTGTAAAATGGTAAATTTTACCACAATAAAAAATTGTAATCGTATATATTACAAACCTCCTCCCCCACAAAGGGCAGCATCTGTAAGTGTATAATTAAATAATTATAAAGCCATGTGATCATCTCACAGATCCAGAAATAGAACATGGAAGCCACCGGAAGCCCCATGTTCCGTCCACCCTACGACCATCTTTCATCCCCAAGAAGTGGCCACGACCCTGGCCCTTGTGGTAACCAGATCGTGCTTTCATTATGGTTTCCCACGCCTCGTGCGTTGCTCATCACTGTAGCTGCGTGCTCCCCATGCTGAACTTACGTAAATGAAATCACAGTGTATGTCCGCTTTTGTGTCCGGTTTCTTCCACTCAGCTGTGGATGCTGTGTGTCTCGGGGATCAATTCCTTTCTATTTCTGTGCAATATTTTATCCTATGAATATACTACAAATGGTTACCCATTGTCCTGTGGGTGGGCGGCATTTAGGCTGTTCCCTGTTTGGGGCTACCATGAATAAAGCTGCCATGGGACATTCTCACATAAATATTTTGATGCACAAAGGCATATCCAGGAATGGGATTGCTGGTTGTAAGGTTGGTATATGTTTAGCTTCAATCGATTATTTCAAACAGTTTTCCGACGTGGTTGCACCCACGTATACTCCCACCAATGGGGTCTGAGAATCTTATTGGTGCTTCTTTCTCACCAATTCGGTTTTCCCAGCCTTTTAAATGTTAGTGGTGGGTGTGCCATTACATTTCATTGAGATTTTAACGTACATTCCTGAATTATTGAAGCTAGGCAACTTGTTTCTTTTTAGAAATTCTTTATATATATTGTGTGTTTATCTGTTTTTGTTTCTGTGTGATGCAAACATCTCCCAATCCATGATCTAACTTTCTGTTATGTGTGTGTGTGTGTGTGTGTGTGTGTGTGTGTGTGTGTGTGTTTCTATTTTCTGAATTTAATCCCCAAAGGTCTTCAGGGAGATGAGAGGTGATAAAATACCTAGCCCTGCCCTGGCTGGTGTTGCTAAGTTGTCAGAGCGTTGGCCTGCACACTGAGGGGTCATGGGTTCAATTCCTGGTTAAGAGCACGTACCCTGGTTGCAGGTTCGATCCCCAGCCATCATCAGGGCGTGTGTGGGAGGCAACCAACCGATATGTCTCTCTCACATCAATGTTTCTCTCTCTCTCTCTCTCTCTCTCTCTCTCTCTCTCTCTCTCTCTCTCTCTCTCTCTCTCCCCACCCCCCTTCCTTCCTTCTCTTCCATCCTCTCTAAAAAGCAATGGGGGAAAATATCCTCAGTTGGGGATTAACAACAAAAAAGAATAACTAGCCCTAAAACCTGAGGGAAATTAGGCATGGCTGGCAAGAAATCAGGCTGCCGGCGATCCAAAATAGGGGCAGAACCCTTCCTCCTTGGGCCCTTTCTCGCCTGTGGAGCCCCACCTGCAGAACATGGAAGGGCAGGGAGGGGCCCAGAGCAACCTTCCATACCACTGGGTCTCTGTGTCTGTGAATTTTGCTGCACGAGGAAGAATTAACCCAACCGCGGGTCGCTGTCCCTGGTGCTGAAATGATTCCCAGTTCTCTTTGCCCAATCTCTTCTGGGACTCTCAGTTTTTCTTCTCTAGTTGGTGAAAATGTGTGATGTTTACCCGTTTCTAGATTTATAGAGCCCTGGCATTCAGTTCCTGATAGGGTTGGATCGTCTCCCTAGCCCTCAATTCATATGCTGCTGTCCTAACTTTTAGGACCTCAGAATGTGACCTTATTCGGAAGTAGAGTCATTGCAGATGGAATTAGTTAAGATGAGGTCATACTGGATTAGAGTGAGTCCTAATACAACACAGCGTGTATCTTCATAAGAGCGAGGAAATCCTGACACGGAGACGTGCACACAGGGAGAAGGCCATGTGGACACAAAGGCAGGAATCGGGCGATGTATCATCAAGCCAAGGGAAGTAAGGACTGACAGCAACACTGGAGGCTGGGCGAGGGGCCTGGGTCAGATTCTCCCTCTCAGTCTCAGAAGGAACCAACTCAACTGATACCTTGATCTCAGACTTCCAACCGCCCTTGGAGGGAAAACTCAGCCCACCCAATGCCCACACTGGGTGAGCTGCTCACTCTGATTCCAGGCCTGGCCACCCCCACACCACACATCAGCCCCGTTGATGATGTGGGAGCCTGGCTGGGTGTCAAGCAGCCGCTCCCCAAACTGACTGAACCCTGAGGGGTTAACTGGTGAGTGGGGCAGGTAGAGAGGGCAAGTCCACCTGCAAGAACTGACAGCCAGAATGCTTAGCACGTGACAATTCTATGGTTCCTTTTACACACACCTCCATTTTCAACGCTAGGACCAGGGCTGATCTTGGGAGGGTCAGTGCCCACAGATCTCTTGAGAACCAAGGGCAGAGTTGTACCAATGGGGGAACCTATGGGGGGCAAGAGATTTCCTCCATGTATGAAAGTTTCCTGCCCAGCCGGTGTGGGTCAGTGGTTGAGCATCGACCTATGGACCAGGAGGTCACGGTTTGATTCTAAGTTGGGCACATGACCAGGCTGTGGGCTCAAGCCCCAGTAGGGGGTGTGCAGGAG